TACTTCAAAAGTAGATAAAGTTACTTACAGTTTTATGTACAGTTTTATTAGATACTTGCCAAATTCACTTGTGTTCAAACATCTGTGAATGTTGACAATACAAAAAGTTCATATGAGTGTAGTCTAGATTAATGCCTAGATCAATGAGATAGAGTAGAACCAACAGAGATTCAAAAGCATTTAAAAGCATTTTGATGCATTTGGGTATAGCACAAAAACAAAAAGTAGACATTTAGATATTGAGAAGTTTCCAGCACAGATTAGAAAATCAAACACCATTGTAGAATAATAACTGACCCCAACCCCAAACCTGCTAAAATAGATTAGCTCTTGTAAGGAAAGTAATGATTTACATTCATCCCAAACTGCCTGATAGGAGGAAGTGACAGCACTTCCTGGTTCAACAAATGTATTTGGAAAACTGACTGCCATAATAATGTGCCACTGATAAGGAAAGTAAACCACAGAATAGAGAGATTTGTTGGATTGAAATGTATGTTTGAGAATGTGGCTCAATGGAAGCAAATATGCAAACATATTTGTAGGTGGATTGGAATAGTTTTAAACTATAGTGAATAGTAAAAGTAAAGTACACAGTGTAAGATTGAATAGTGAAAATAATACAGTGAAATAAATGAAGTGTAAATAATTAGCATTAGAATAAAAGTATAGAGTAAGAAAAGTGAAATTAGCTTCAAATTTGAGACTCAGCTCGTTTTTTGTCTGTGTTTTGACTGAATCTGCTGAGTTCTTGTGTGTCCAATAGAGTTTGTTTTTGTTTGTTTTGTTTTCCAGGATAGAGGATAAAATCCACTGATATTGATTTAAATATTGATTTGTGATCACATGTGTATGTGATCAAGAGAGGGACTGTGAATATCTAATAATTATTTGCTTGCTGAAATGTCATGTTAAACAAGTTCAGTAGAGTTTGGGAGGCTTACACTGTACTTTGAACTGCTTACAAAAGCATGGAAACAGATAAGACAGAACAAACAGTAAACATGTGCAGTATGGATGGTGTACGTTGGAGTTTGCTCCATTACAAAACAGTTATATCACAGTTGTACGTTGAAACCATACGTTCTCTTCTGCATAGTCATGCTTATATAATCATTTACAATGTATATAAGGGGTTAGCCTTTGCCTGCCCACTAGACTTCTGAGGCCAGACAGGACGGGAAGCTGCGTTATGCTTGATCAGAATACGCTCAAACCTTCTGACAATAAAACTATTGAACTACGCAGTCGAAGTCTCGTTTTGTCTTACGTCTGGGATTATTCACAACCCCACAACCCGTGAAGCGGAGAGCAGTCACCAGAGTAGCACGTGAGGTGAGGTTTGGTGCAGGATATCACTGGCCTCAACTCACCAAGGTCAAAAATGCAAACAGATGCCATGATGCTGCATGCACACGGAAGACCAAATACATCTGCATGCACTGCTGTGTGCCACTGTGCCCTGGATGCTTTGCAAACTTTCATACAGCCTAGGTGTGATGAACATACTGTAGAACTGTTTGGAGAAGCAGAGATTAAAATGTCAGTTTGTGTTTTCTTCCATGACAATATAAGGGCTTGATAATACTGTCCTGCATCCTTATAGAACTGTGGAGACTCAATAATGTTTCTCCTGTTGGAGATGGTTTTACATATTCAGGTCTAAGATTCATGGCTATGAGTGTCACTGGTTTTCTTATTCAGGCCTAAACACTGCGCTTATACAGTGTTGAAATTTCCCAAAAAATGCTGAAATGTTTTACAAAGCATAAAAAGAAACAAGTGTTTGCATATTTACAATAGATCACAAGTTAATTAATGTTTACAGTAAGTTCACAAAATTTCATGTTGAGTGCTGAGGCGCATGTAGTCCACTGGATTGGACATGTCTGTAACTTTATGAAAAAAATGTATTTTTGGAAAAACAAAGTTGGACTCTTTTTTTTATGTCCTGAGAAGAATAAAATCACTTAAAAAAAAAAATCTTGACCAAGGCTTTCATAATTCATGCATCAGAGGGTTAAATAATTCAATGTACATCTAATTTCCTATGTATTTCCAATTATACAAATCTAATGGTATATTTAATCAATTATTTATTTGTGTATTTTCATATTCGATTGTGGTATCCACTATAATGTTCATCCATAAGCATATTTTTGGGTGGGCACGGAGTGATAGCAGCACTCTCGCTTCTCAGCAAGAAGTAGTCCAGACCAAGCCGAACATCAACAACTGGAGATGGGTTCCTGGGCACTGTACTACGGCGACCACTGCCTTAGTGGCATCAGGATGGGTCAAATGCAGAGGATGAATTGCCCTACGGGTAAAAATAAAGTGCACCTTCACCTTTAATTGGTATCTTGGCCGATTCTCCTCAGAATGCAATTATTTTATTTGGAACACACTCTATAATCACCTAATATTTTGTTTATAAAAAATAACCGTAGGTCTGCAAGTAAAACATGCCATGGCCCATGAGCAAAATCCAGTAGCCTATTTTGAACAATCCTGAAGTGTGTGAAGCAAAGAACTGAGGATCAGGCTTTGTAAACTCAGTCCACTAAGGCTGGACCCCTCAAAACAGCCTGAAACTGGCTTGCATACATCCATGTTTGTGACTGAAGAAATGGCATTGAATATAGTCATCATTTGAAGCGTATAACACTGGCTAAAGTAATCATGTAAATATATAAATGTTATCTATGTATTTTATTGAGCAGACAATATATTGTGTCTATTAAATCTTAAAGATTATTTGATATTTTGAAAGATATTTTCGATATCATCTGGCGTTCCACACATAGGGAACCAATGTCAATGGAAACATTTACGCATCTACCACACTGAGGCTTTGTGATTTCACTCAAGGTCAATGGGGACTTTCTATTTATAGAAACTCTTTTGCTTCGTCCTTGTTTTGAGTAATGACAGAGAAAAGTCCTAGTGTGTATTGTGCAGCTTTATTCTGAAGGATTTATGAAAGATTTCAATTTGGACTTTTTTCAAATCTTACACTTTTTACATTCACTAAATCCAAGTGTATTCTTGTAATCTAGTTTGTCACAAAATGATCCATCGAGGGGAAATAAATATTATAATCTTGACTGCAATGCAACATTGCGAAAGGTATTGTCCTACCGATCATTTGCATTTTAAGTCCTGAACAAAGTCGGGTCTCAAACAAAAAAACAAAAGTAATTAAAATTCTGTTTTCATATAATTGAAAAATTGGTGTTATTGTAATGACAAAACTTATATTCAGAGAAACTTTATTGCAGTAACAAGTGGCAAGTATGACAGCATATGTTTAAAGTTTTCTTCCTGCATGTCTCATACAACTCTCATTGTCATGCAGTTGTCCAGAGTTAGTGTTAAAGCTATGAAGAAAAAATTATACGGTAAAATCAATGTTCCACACCCATTTTCTACAACAACATGCATCTAAAGAGCAAAATACCAGGTCAGAAGAAAGGTATGCTCAGGGTGGTTCAAAAATTAAAGGTTGTTGAATGTACAGTAAATTACATTGTTTTATAATTAGATGTACTATTGTATTTGTTACTCTGAACTTGCCGAATATACGATGGGACTGATACAAGTGTGCCAGGATTATATCCTGGTTGTTTAAAGACTATTTACACTCGACTGTGTACAGTTTCATAGTGTATCAGCAATACATTTAACAAGACAAATCATTTTCCACTTATTCTTACAATGTTAGTGCTGATAATTACAGTGTTAGAAGATAAATGCAAAAAACAAAAAGCAAGGGTTGCAAATCAACATACAAGCATATGACTGAGGTAACACACAGCGTTAATATATAACTCTCCAAGCCAAGGCACTGAAGAAATCAGCAATATGTACACAACAATTCAATCCAAACACTTCATCCAGTAATTGTTTTTTACATTGCGTTTGTTTTACATCACCGTTTCAACCATTTGACCCAAAATGAGATGCATCGTTTCAGTAGTCAACTTTGTCCCTGCGAGTTACCAGGGCAGCTCATGTTACCGTCTACATTCACAGTAGTTGAAAGCTTCTTTGCTGGCAATACTTTTCCATAACCAAAAGAAAAATCCATAATTGAAAACTGCAAGACCTTATGTCAACTTGGCAATAACAGGAGTTTTTATTCAATTAACAAAACATTATGCAATGAAGGCCTGATACACTGCAGCAAAACTGATCAGTTTGCCTCATAGATTTATACAGTTCAAGGTTTACATCTGTAAAAAAATAAAAAGCTATAGAAGTGGTTCAACATTCTTAGTGCCATTCTGTCTGTCATTAAAACGATCTCTGTAACATATTTCAGTAACATTCAAGTGGAACTGGAAGCACATTAGACTAATTGACTTTCAGTGTAAAAAGGGGTAATACAGAAGAAAAGTTGCATATCAGAGTTGAATACTGGCCTGAATTTGAAATAACACTAGATATCCATTTATATATATATGAAATAAAAAAAAAAAAAAAATCAAATAAAACAAGATGACAAGAAAACGTAACTCTTTAGCGTGTAGCTTATTCATCAGTGGGGTCGCTGGGGTCACCACTTATTCCAGACAAAGCACCATGTACGGGACTATATTCAATATTCTTTCCTTCAGTAGCTTGTATTCCATCTTAAAATAGACAGACTTAACCATGAGCCATTGAAATATATGAATTTCTTTATAATAAGTCCATAAAATCATTTTCTGAATTGTTTTTTTTACTCTTTAAATGTAGTGTATGTCTATGTCTATGCATATATTCATTCACTCTGCAATCCTTACTTTTAATACAATGTGTATAGTTTCCAGTCAAATTGGAAGTGCAGAGAGATTTAGTGATAAGAGAATACAGAGAATACATCACACAAATACAACTGGGCCATAATTCTTATACAATTCAATATTTAACGTTTGCCTTTGACTACCCATTTAATTGCATATTTGCTACATTAGCGAGACCTGTTATGATGTTGGTGAAATAAAGGAAAAAAATCCTTATGGTTTTGTGGAAGACAACAAACTAGTGAGCCAAGTTGCTGCAGTGGACTGATGCTTCTCCTGTGCAGATTCTTCTGTGGAGCCGTCTGGAAGGAGGAACTGAGTGGAAGCAATAGACGTGGGAGATCCCAGAGACGGGGCAAGGCTGCGGCGCTCGTCTGCCTCCTCTGGCGAGTCCAAATGCCAGTTGTTTTGAGGTCTGTAACCACTTGAGCTGCAAACTTGAGACTCTGGTGAAGACTGGGGTTGAGCAAAGTTATCATTGTCACTTTCCGGTTGAAGTTGCATTTGAGGCCTATAACCTCCGCCTCCACTACTCACCAGAGCAACGTGGGGCTGATCGGAGAAGCTTTGTGGGTCGGGCTGGAACACTAAAGAAGATCCCGAAGTTTGAATACCAGTGTAGGTCACATCAGTGCGCCCGGAATCCAGCGATGATGCGGAAGAAGCTGAGGAGTCTGGGTATCGTGGCCTTATGGGTCGTTCGTCCACCACTTGGTTGTAATAACGCAGAGATGTCGGCTCGTCTGTGTCGACAGGTTCATCGCGGATGCCTTCGTCATCCTCATCCTCTTCGGGTATGACCACAAGAGCTTCCTTACCAGAGTCCCACTCAGGCTTTTCCACAATGTGGACCATGCTGTGTGGGGAAGGTTTTACATCCAGTGTTCCCTGAAACCAACGACAAGAGGCAAAAATAAGTTACTAATGTAATATCAGGGAGGTAATGTTGCACCTACAGTATTTGTTTTTTCATTGGGCTTAAATTCAACATATTAAGTACCAGACTGTAGAAGGTGCGGACTAACTCAGTGCCAACATCACTCAGAGTACAGGTGCTGGTCATATTATTAGAATATCATGAAAAAGTAGATTTATTTCAATGATTATATTCAGAATATGAAACTTACATATTATATCAATTCATTAGACACAGTGACATTTCAAATGTGTATTTATTTTATTTAGATGTTTAGTTCTGACAATTACTGAAAATCCAAAATTCAGTATCTCTGAAAATTAGAATATTACTTCAGACTAATACAAAAAAATATTTATCACAAATGTGGGCCAACTGAAAAGTAGCAACATGGAAAGTTTCAGCATGTACGGAAATCAATACTTAGTTGCAGCTCCTTTTGCCTGAATTGCTGCAGCAATACGGCGTGGCATGGAGTCTGTTGCACTCCTCAGGTGTTATGAGAGCCCAGGTTGCTTTAATAGTGGCCTTCAGCTCTTCAGCATTGTTGGGTCTGGCATCTCGCATCTTCCGCTTCACAATACCCCATAGGTTTTCTATGGGGTTAAGGTCAGGTGAGTTTGCAGGCCAATCAAGAACAGGGATACTATGGTCCTTAAACCAGGTACTGGTAGATTTGGCACTGTGTGCAGGTGCCAAGTCATGTTGGAAAATGAAATCTTCACCTCCATAAAGTTGATCAGCGGCAGGAAGCATAAAGTGCTCTAAAACTTCCTGGTAGACTGCTGCATTGACCCTGGACCTCAGGAAACACAGTGGACCAACACCAGTAGATGACATGACACCCCAGACCATGACTGACTGGAAATTTTACACTGGACTTCAGGCAACGTGGATTCTGTGCCTCTCCTGTCTTCCTCCATACTCTGGGACCTTGATTTCCAAAGGAGATACAAAATTTACTTTCATCTGAAAACATAACTTTGGACCACTCAGCAGCAGTCCAGTCCTTGTCTTGAGCCCTGTCTTGAGCCAGGCGAGACGCTTTTGACGCTGTCTCTTATTCAAGAGTGGCTTTACCTGTGGAATGCGACAGCTGAAGCCCATATCTTTCATACGTCGGTGCGTGGTGGTTCTTGAAGCACTGACTCCAGCTGCAGTCCACTCTTTGTGGATCTCCCCCACATTCTTAAATGGGTTTTTCTTGACAATTCTCTCCAGGGCGCGGTTATCCCTCTAGCTTGTAGACTTTTTTCTACCACATCTTTTTCTTTCCTTTGCCTCTCTATTAATGTGCTTGGACATAGAGCTCTGTGAACATCCAGCCTCTTTGGCAATGACCTTTTGTGTCTTGCCCTCCTTCTTTAACATGTCAATGGTCATCTTTTGGACAGTTGTCAAGTCAGCAGTGTTCCCCATGATTGTGTGTCATACAGAATCAAAACGAAAGACCATTTAAAGGCTTTTCCAGGTGTTTTGAGTTAATTAGCTAATTAGAGTGTGGCACCAGGTGTCAATATCTGACCTTTTCACCATATTCTAATTTTCTGAGATAGTGAATTTAGTGTTTTCATTGGTTGTCAGTTATATTGTCTTCTTTTGGGCAAAATAACAATTGAAATATATTAGTCTGTTTGGAATGAATATATACATTCTACAAGTTTGACTTTCTAAATGGAATTAATGAAATAAATCAACTTTTTCATGATATTCTAATAATATGACCAGCACCTGTATTTGTCTTCTTGCCAAAGAAGGGCTAGCTATAGTTTAAGAGTCCTAGTATACATCTGACGTCACTTTCTTTGGGTGAAACTTTTTAGAGCTGCTCTAAAATACTGATCTCCTTTAAAATTTGTTAGGAAAAAAGACCAAAACCTACCTGTGGTGTGGACCAATGATTGGGCAGTTTAGGCTCTGGTATATCTGGGTAAAATGCACTTTTTACCCTGAGAACAAGACAGATAAAAAGGGAGAATGTAAACATGTAATGCTAAAGAATTAGTGACAACAATAGATCAACCATACCATTTCCGTTTCTTGTAGCAGATGAGTGCCACAAAAAACAAAACCAAAGCTGTGACTCCGAGGGTAGCCAGAATTTCTAAAATCAACCAATCACCTAAAAAAAAGAATAAAAGATCAGACAGAAGTAAAACATTAAAATTATCACTATGAGATATCACATTTATAATCTATTTACCATAAGGTTCTACTGTTATTGAAGCCGTTCCGCCGCTGTCCTCCCCTGCAGATGTAAACGCCTTGACAGTGAACTTATATGAGCCAAGAGGGAGACCCTTAACCGTGTAACTGTTTTCATTGTGTGATAATGAGGCTGTTGGGAAAAGAGAAAGAATACAAATATGTCATGGTTAGAAAAAGGAAGTTGTCAATTGCGTTGATTTTATAAGTGGATACTGACCAAGTGGTGTGAGTTGAGAGCCATTATTCAAGTAAACATTGTATCCTCGGAGAAAACCTCTTTTGTGTGATGCTGGGATGTCACTCCATGTGATCACAACATCTAAATCCTGCTGTTTGGTTGACAGCAAGACCGAACTGGACGGAGCTAAAAAAAACAAAAATACAAATCAAGATGAAAATGTGCAAGACATTAATTGTCGGTTCTCTGATGGAGTAAAGAACTTACTCAGCTCACGCATGTAGCCTTGCCACTGCTTCAGCAACTCTGGAGCTTCTGAGGGGCAGTGGTACAATGAGAAGGAATATTTCACGCCCGGCTCAAAGGCATCTGGGAGAAGATGAAAGAAGTTCATAAATATTGAATACACCACTCAATCAAAAACACAAACATAAACGCAGAAAAAAGAGAACAATTATAGTAATTGGTAAATGTAGGCAATGTAACGATCTATCAATTGTATTAATCTGTGACTGGGTTGAAGAGTAAGTAGTCTGAACAGGACAAAATCCAGTCCTTTTAAAAACTGCCCAAAGCTCATGATAACAGGAGAGAATGCAGATTGCTGAAGAGCTTTGCCTTTCGAATCAGAAGTATGTTTTAGCACAATTTTAATAGAATTGACATCCGAATTTTGAAATTTAAATAATCCAAAAACATATAATTTTTGTAAATATTGCAGGAATATTACCTGATTTGATGGACACATTCCTGATGTCGTCTTCCACTTTGATCCACTCTACGGCGCAGTCAAGGACACACAAGGCCTCATTCCACTCCACAACAAACCCACAGCTAGTATTGGCATCACTCTGCCAGGACAGAGGAAAAGCCCCTTCTTGAAAATCTACCTTTTCTGAATCCAGACCTATAACAACAGCAACACACATGTCATTTACTGTCCACTCTTTCATACATCCTCACTCTTGTTCTGCATACTGGTGAAGTGCAGAGGAAGCTCGATGGTGGCTGGTGGTGAGAGTCCAGCGGGGTTCTTGGCAACGACACTTGCGATGAGCCTGCTGTTATTGCTGACGATGATACTCGAGAGGCTGAGAGGCAGCGTAAACATCTCTGGGGAAACATTGTGTATGCGCCGAGTGCCGTTGTCAGGGCTCCACAAAGTAACCTCGTAGCCGACGATGGGACCATGGCTCTGCCTTTGTTTGTATGGCTGTGCAAAGAAATTGTAGCAAATTTAGACAAGAAAAAAGGTAAGACGATTCAATCCTTAAGATAATAGTATGCCTTTATCCATATTTTTAGAATTGGTTGTGTGAAAGTTGAAGAAATATTTTGGCCTAATTGTAAAATAATTATTATTGCAATGAGGCTGTAAATAGTGTTGTTATTATAAAGTAATGACTACACCATTAGTATCAGATTAGAAACAGCAGCTTTTCTGGGGCAGGAAGACAAGCAAAAACAGCCTCTTGCCAGGTCTAGTTGAATTTAGAAAAGTAGTGGAGCGCAATTACCTTCCATATAATCTGTCCAGTTGTGTCATTGGCCATCGATATCCACACATCAGGAGTACTTGGAACTGTTCAGAAACAAAATAATAAGAAAACAAAATTAAGTATAAAATGAGAAACACTGAACAGCAATATCCATACTTACCATCACACTCAGTTTGGAAGGAAATAGTTTTGCTCCAGTTGCCCCACCTCCAGAAATTCTGCTGAGCTCCGCAGCGGACTTTAACGCTGTATTCTTCATATGGATACAGGTCTAACAGCACCGCAGACCGCAAACCCACACCAGAGAAAGTGCGCTGAAGACATACATTGAAAATAATGACCACTAAGAGCACTTCAAGCTTTTAATGTCAATAAAATATTAATTGTTTTCAATACAATAGTGGAAGGAAGATGATTGAATGTGTTGAAATATAAAAGGTCATGTATTATATATTATTAGAGCTGCTAGAACAGCTGTCGTATGATGAGAGAAAATTGTTCCACACTGAGGGGGATAAACAAACAGTTTGCCAGACAGTCGCTGAAATATTCACACAGGCCTTGTTAACTCACCTTTGTTTTGTCATCGCTGGACGTGAGCTCCACTTGACAAACAAGAGCGAGAGAAGAATAATGATTGTGTTTCCACCCCCACGTCACATTGGCCTTACGGGCAGTGGCCCCAGTGCTCACTTCTTCCGGTGGTAGAGGCACAACTGGACAGAGACAGCAGACATAAAACAAGTTTATGAATGAATGATATAACGTGAACAATGTGATGAGCTGAGAATCCTTTACCTCTGGTGCGGACCCCTGCCGTGTCTGTCAGACTGTACTCTCCCAGACTGTTCCTGCCCAACAGTTTCCACTTATCCTCCCATACTGGGACGCTGCACTGCCTTTGATTCTGTTCCAAGCAGACTACTGAGCAATTCCTGCAATAACACATGTTTTACTCATGTATGTATTCACTTAATTTATTCCAGTTTCATGTTTGTGTTGAAAAAAATAAAAAAAATAATGTATTTTGTTTGAAATATACATACAATTACAACTAAATGATGTATTTCCAGAGTTGCTAATGTTCGGGCTGATTAATCATCCTTTGGCATTTAGTGACGGCTAAAATAACTGGATGTCCCCATTGAATTTGGCAACTGAAAGAGCCTCATGTGAGGCTTAGGGCGAGGCTCTTTCTGATTGGAAAATGTGGCAGTTATAACCAATATGTTAATATTCAGCATTAATCATTTAAATCAGACATAGAAATATTGTTGGTCAATTTAATTTGAAACTAAACTTTACAGTTCCTTTAAGTAGCATACCTCCCGTTGATAGAATAGCGAGTTTGCCTTTTGCCAAGCAGGTGGCTGTCCCGTGCTTCTGTCCAATGGCAAACGGCAGAGATCACATCATGAGTTTCGCAAACAAAGTTTGTCATTAGTGGAGGATCTGAAGAGATAGAACATGATAAAAGTGTAATGAAATACATAGAGTATGCGTAACTTAAGGTCCATCAAATTTGAATCAAATACATGATCCTACATCCAACAAAGAGCACTGCCCCGGTGATCTCTGCTTGTGTGGTTCCTTTGCAGAAGGCATTAAATCCAAAAGAGGGCGACGGCTTCGGGCTGTAGACTGTCGCTGCATAAGCACGCCTGCTCAGTCGAGTCACGTTAAGAGTTTCTGAGACAAAGTGAAAACTGCCAAAGGACTTTCCCTCAGCGATTATGCAACAAAAGGTGGTGTTGGTTCCCGGAAGCACAATCTTGTCTTGGGGATAAACTTGCATTAGTTCATTGGTGGGACTGTCATTTCCTGAAGACAAATAAAACAGAGACATTATTTTAATTGGCATACGTTTTCTCTAACAAAATGGATAAAAAATATGGTAAACATCGGGAAATATACCCATAAAAGGGTTGTTCAAAATATCAAAATCAGATATAAAATAAATACCAAAACTAGAACCAAAACTAGATAGCCTACTCAACTCAGAAAGTATCAATACATAAAAGATAAGGAGACAAACAGGAAAAAATGTGAATTCTCTGAGTAGTTTATATTTTCATCTCAGAACTTGTATGTTAGTGCCATATGAACCAACTCAGACTCTGAGGAGTCTGAAGTTTATCATTTTATTATTGTGACAACACTACTCAGAAATGAAACATTTTCTAGAAGTTACCTTGATGTATCTGCATGCTACTCCAATCACTGGTCAGCTGCCCAATTCTGGACCGGACCTTGACGGAGAGCGAGGTGCACTCCAGGGGCTCCACTGATGTCCACTTGAAATCGTGCCGACCACTAGCCTTATCCGGTGTTGTAGTTACCGTTTCCTGTTGAAATAAAGCGAATCAGGCGATAAAGGAAGGAACAGGGACAAAGAGAAGCTATGGCAACAATCTGAGATGCCCTTACATAGAAAACCGTATCATTAAGTTCAGTTCGGAGGATCAGGAGGTCAAAGCTTGTCACTTCTCCTCCAGACCAGGATATTAAGACTTGCTGAGTCCTTAAGTTGCCCAACAGGCTCACCTCCTGGGGAATGGGGATGACTGAAAAAAACAATACAAAAACATAATTAAATTCTCCTTACATCTTCATGAACATCTTTATAAACTTAAATGATTCTTACCATCTTTGGCCCAACAGGAGAGGCCCATAAGGACAAGTAACAAAGCAGACTTGAGGAGCTGCATTGCGTTCAGTGTGAACACTAGAAGATCCAATTAATCCCTTTTTCTTACAACGTCAGTGGAGACATATTACGAGGCCAGTCGAACAACTGTCCTGTGGGATAACATGAACAATATATCAGTAAAAGAAAAACAAGCTTAGGGGAACACCAGTAATTTCCCTTATGGATCTATGAAAAGTCTAGTACAACTTGGCAGTGCTTTCAGAAAGAGTGGTGCTCACAACAGATTGTAGCATGAATGTACTGTGCAAGTGCAACACATTCTTTATATTGCAAACAAAAGTCTTGCCCAAGTTTATTTTGCAGCGCTACTATCAAAAAACCTTACATTGCACAACCTCAGGGCCCACAACTCTCAACATTAGTGTATTGGACACACGGAGAATCAGTGGAAAGGAAAAAATATGTTTTTTGGACAGATGCTCGTTTACTTAACAAGCACCAATTTAAATTTAACAGGACAAGTTTAATGCTGGAACCCAACTCCTTGAGAGGGGTTGGACGCTCCACTTTTCTGGTGTTTCCCGCGGGGAGAGGCGGCGAGCTGGGGTGGCCATTCTCATTGCCCCCCATCTCAGCCGCCACGTGTTGGAGTTCTCCCCGGTGAATGAGAGGGTCGCGTCCCTCCGCCTCCGGGTGGGGGATAAGTCTCTCACTGTTGTGACGGCCTACGGGCCTAACAGCAGTGCAGAGTACCCGGCCTTCTTGGAGTCCTTGGGAGGGGTACTGGACGGTGCACCGCCCGGGGACTCCGTTATTCTCCTGGGGGACTTCAACGCCCATGTGGGAAACGCCAGTGACACTTGGAGAGGGGTGATCGGGAAGAGCGGCCCCCCTGATCTGAACCCGAGCGGTGTTCAGTTGTTGGACTTCTGTGCCAGTCACAGTTTGTCCATCACGAACACCATGTTCGAGCACAAGGGTGTCCACCAGTGCACGTGGCACCAGGACACCCTAGGCCGGAGGTCGATGATCGACTTTGTTGTCGTATCATCTGACCTTCGACCGCGTGTCTCGGACACTCGGGTAAAGAGAGGGGCGGAGCTGTCAACCGATCATCACCTGGTCGTGAGTTGGATCCGCTGGCAGGGGAAGAAGCCGGTCAGACCTGGCAGACCCAAGCGTATAGTGAGGGTCTGCTGGGAACGTCTCGCTGAGCCCCCTGTCAGACGGACTTTCAACTCACACCTCCGGGAGAGTTTCTCCCAGGTCCCGGTGGAGGAGGGGGACATGGAGTCGGAGTGGACCATGTTCTCTGCCTCAATCGCCGATGCGGCGGCTCATAGCTGTGGTCGCAAGGTCTCTGGTGCTGGTCCCGGCGGCAACCCCCGAACCCGGTGGTGGACACCGGCAGTAAGGGATGCTGTCAGGCTGAAGAAGGAGTCCTATCGAGCCATGATGGTTCGGGGGACTCCTGAGGCAGCTGTCCAGTACCGGCAGGCCAAGCGTGCCGCGGCCCGGGCTGTTGCAGAGGCAAAAACCCGGGACTGGGAGGAGTTCGGAGAGTCCATGGAGCATGACTATCGGTCGGCCTCAAAGAAATTCTGGCAAACCGTCCGGCGCCTCAGGAGGGGGAAGCAGTTCTTTGCCAACACCATGTACGGTGCGGGTGGAGAGCTGCTGACCTCGACTGGGGATATTGTCGGGCGGTGGAAGGAATACTTTGAGGTTCTCCTCAATCCCCCCGTCACGTCCTCTGTTTCAGAGGCAGAGGCTGAGGATGTTGGGGCGGATACATCCATCTCCCTGGCTGAGGTCACCAAGGTGGTTGGTAGCCTCCATGGTGGCAAGGCTCCGGGTGTGGATGAGATCCGCCCTGATTATCTAAAGTCTCTGGATGTTGTAGGACTGTCTTGGCTGACACGTCTCTGCAACATCGCGTGGCGATCGGGGGCGGTGCCAATGGAGTGGCAGACCGGGGTGGTGGTCCCTCTCTACAAGAAGGGGGACCGGAGGGTATGTTCCAATTATCGTGGGATCACACTCCTCAGCCTCCCCGGTAAGGTCTACTCCAAGGTACTGGAGAGGAGGCTACGGCCGATGGTCGAATCTCGGATCCAGGAGGAGCAGTGTGGTTTTCGTCCCGGTCGCGGAACACTGGACCAGCTCTATACTCTCCATCGGATACTCGAGGGTTCATGGGAGTTCGCCCAACCTGTCCACATGTGCTTTGTGGATTTGGAGAAGGCGTTCGACTGTGTTCCCCGGGGTGTCCTTTGGGGGGTTCTCCGGGAGTACGGGGTCGGGGGTCCTCTGCTGAGGGCCATCCGGTCCCTGTATGACCGGAGCCAGAGCTGTGTTCGCATTGCCGGCAGTAAGTCAGACCTGTTCCCGGTGAATGTTGGCCTCCGACAGGGCTGCCCTTTGTCACCGGTTCTGTTCACTGTATTTATGGACAGAATATCTAGGCGCAGCCAGGGGTCGGAGGGGGTCCGGTTCGGGGACCACAGGATTTCATCTCTGCTGTTTGCGGACGATGTTGTCCTGTTGGCTCCAACGAACCAGGACCTGCAGCATGCACTGGGACGGTTTGCAGCCGAGTGTGAAGCGGCTGGGATGAGAATCAGCACCTCCAAATCTGAGGCCATGGTGCTCGACCGGAAAAAGGTGCCCTGCCCTCTTCAGGTGGGTGGAGAGGTCCTTCCTCAAGTGGAGGAGTTCAAGTATCTCGGGGTCTTGTTCACGAGTGAGGGAAGAATGGAGCGTGAGATTGACAGGCGGATCGGTGCAGCGTGCGCAGTGATGCGGTCGCTGTATCGGACTGTTGTGGTAAAGAAGGAGCTGAGAGCCGAAAGGCAAAGCTCTCGATTTACCGGTCAATCTTCGTTCCCTCCCTCACCTATGGTCATGAGCTTTGGGTAATGACCGAAAGAACGAGATCGCGGATACAAGCGGTCGAAATGAGCTTCCTCCGCAGAGTGGCTGGGCGCTCCCTTAGAGATAGGGTGAGGAGCTCAGTCACACGGGAGGAGCTCGGAGTAGAGCCGCTGCTTCTCCACGTCGAGAGGAACCAGTTGAGGTGGCTCGGGCATCTGTTCCGGATGCCTCCTGGACGCCTCCCTGGGGAGGTGTTCCGGGCACGTCCCACCGGGAGGAGGCCCCGCGGAAGACCTAGGACACGCTGGAGGGACTATGTCTCTCAGCTGGCCTGGGAACGCCTTGGGGTCCCCCCGGACGAGCTGGAGGAAGTGTGTGTGGATAGGGAAGTCTGGGCGTCTCTGCTTAGACTGCTGCCCCCGCGACCCGGCAACGGATAAAGCGGAAGAAAATGGATGGATGGATGGAAGTTTAATGCTGATCTAAAACAGATTAGTATTAAGAGCTCCACCTGCAATTTATGTATCCTCTGCTTTAATGCTTTTTATTCACAATTACAGTTATTGCTCTGGTTAAACAGTTTGAGTCGTCATTCCCATCCTTATACGGATTGAGCTCAATAAAAAAAAAAAATATATGCACAATGGAGAGGTAAAGACAGATGCTCAGCTGTCTGACCATGACTCAGGTCTTTCTCCAAATAGTACATTTAGGGGAATGAACAACCAGTTCTCCTCTTCAGTCCTACAGTTAGACAATCATCATCAGCCATTTGTTGCATAGTCTTGTTCTACCGAAGACAAGTCAGGGCAGGACTCAGACTAACAACTAAATCTTGAAAAACAAATAGGACGAGTTCCGTGGGTTCTTTTACCGAAAATATCTTACGACACAGGAACAAGTGAACACAAACAGTAGAATAAATACATTTTATAAATCACGCTCACCCAGTAGGGTCTTGAGATTGAACCTTCAAACCCTCTGAAACAATTTACTTGTACAGAGTGAAAAAAGGTTTCCTGCGTTGGGAATATGTAGGACTAAACAAACCTGCCCACAGTGGTTCATTTATGGGAATGGGTGACTTATGCAAATCATTTCTCAATACCCATTTATTTACAGATTTGCACAAACAAGCGAACTGGATAAAAAAAAGAACCCTTATATTGTTATTTAGTAAACTATAAAATCTGTTACAGTGAATGCATTACAGGATAATGAGATTTCAATATACATTTCCCTTTTCTTCTCTGTATGCCAGGAACATTTAGGATAGATGCCCATTCTTTTGCTACACAAGACAGGATGCCAAAAACACAACTGACCAACCAAATCTTAATTAAAAAATTCCAAGATATGTATCCTACGCATAGGGCTCATGTTTTTCAATTTAAAAAAAGGTCTATAATGAGATACTAACACTGTATGGTAAGAGGCTATATATTCCCGATTCCCAACTCTTAACAGATTCGACTAGTAGTAACTTGGTGGCATGTTCAACTTTTTATAATTTAGTGCTTACCTTTTTTCAACTACATGAAATAACTGAAACCTAAATTATTCTACTAAAGGCATACATAGAGTGGCCTTTGTGCTCTTGACCTGGGAGCAGCCACACTTTCCATTGAAATTCAGGGACATGGCTCAACATAAATACAGCTGTGGAAGGAAGCAGCCCTTTACACACTCAGGCTCAGAAATAGTTTTACCACCGCATGAATGCAACAGCAAATGCAGATACATATACTTCAGTGTGCCCGGAACTCAGACAAGACTTTCATTACAACATTACGGTATACTTAAGCAAATGTTGACCATGTGAACCCTGAAAAAAAAAAAAAGGATGAAAAAAGCAGTGCACTTAATGGGGAGCGGGAAAAAAACAGCACTGGTTCTGGGAAGCATAACCAAGAAACTGATAGCATCAAAATGCACACACGAACAAATCAATACTTCTGCCTGCTCAATACTCAGCTCCATTATCCTTGTATTCTGCAAATAGACATGAACAAAAATGTTTGTGAAACGTCAAGAATTTCATTGCATTTGGACAATGTAACATGCTTATTTCAAATATAGCAGTCAGAGGGAAAGCTTGTATACGTTTTACTCCTTTTTTTGAGCAAAAGTTTTATTGCATTTGATTCAAAAACTTAAAAACAAGGTAAAGCCTAAATGCTGATCACATTTTGTATTATCACTGGAAAAAACAATATGCAGCGCTTTTGTTTTTCGTCCCATTCTTCATGTGTACGTAAGCACAAAAGAATCATCT